TTTTCTGGATGGAAAATCGTGAATACATATCAAAAGCCTTAAAATACACTTTGATCTCAACAATTCTATCATGAAATATTTATCTTAAGAAAATAATCAGAGATCGTTACAGTGACTTGACTACAAGAATATTAGTGAAGGAAACAATCTTAAAGTCTTACAATATCATATCTAACAGGCAGAAAGTAGGTTCTCAGAAAATACTTGTTGTTGTTATGTGCCTTCAAGTCGGACCGACTCATAGTGACCCCTCCTTGGATTTCTGAGGCAGTATCACTATGGAAGTAGATTGCCCCATCTTCCTTCCGAGGAGTGAAGTGGGTTTGAACCGCCAGCCTTCTGGTTAGCAGTCAAGTGCCTTAGGCACTATGCTACCAGCACTCCCATGGAAGGAATACAAAGTTTGAAATCAGGAAGACTAGGATTTGCTTCTCTTCCCTGCCATTTCTGAGTTATCTGTCCTTAGGCAATTGCTCATAACTTTCAGGAGGAGTTTTCTGCTCACTTGTAAGGCAGAACTAAATGACATATCCTGACTCCAGAAAATTGTCAATACTTTCCTGGTTAAGTTATACATACATAGTCCAATTGATTTCCCTAGATTTTTCCTGGTGACCCATTCATAAATGTTTTGGGAATAGTTCCATAAAATGCTTAATCTGTAACAATACATCTGAACTATTTAGAGACAAATGCAGTATTTCCCAGGGGAAGCAAAAAATGTCTTATAATAGAAGATTTTTCAAATTATAATACATTCAGTGAAATATTATGACTACTAAAATTATTTTAAGCCACTCCTCGGAAGGAAGATGGGGCAATCTACTTCCGTAGTGATACTGCCTCGGAAACCCAAGGAGGGGTCGCTACGAGTCGGGTCCAACTTGACGGCACATAACAACAACAACAATAAGTAATATGGAAATAAATTCCCAATACTTTAGGCTACGATATGTTTAAAATAACTTTGTTATATCTAATTTATTTCTTTCACACACATACACATACACACAGATTAAAATATTAGCAGTGATTGTTCTTTGAACTACCATAAACGACTGGTATTTTCTTCTTTGTGCTTTTCCACATTTTTCAAATTTTCTACAGGGAATAAATTTCTGTGTCTTTATTGTATTTTTGGCTTAAGAACATATTTCCAAATGGGAGTCTAATCTTTTGGAGTATATTAATTCTTTATATACATATGTAATTAAAATATAAAGCTCACCCCTTTACTAGAAGTTAGAGAGTTTGTTAAGCAATTTTGAGTTTAAGCCTGTTGTTGTTGTTGTTGTTAAGTGCCGTCGAGTCGGCCCCGACTCATAGCGACCCCTCCTTGGGTTTCCGAGGCAGTTATCACTACGGAAGTAGGATTGCCCAACCTTCCTTCCGAGGAGTGGCTGGTGGGTTTGAACCGCCAGCCGTCTGGTTAGCAGGCAAGTGTCTTAACCACTATGCTACCAGAGCTCCCGAGTTTAAGCCTAATCAAGTGAAATGATATACATGGAAAAGAGTTGGAATTACAGAAAACCAGTATTTCTACTATTTCAGCCTTTTTTAACTTACAAGTTTTCTAACTGACTATAATTGCACCCCAAATGACAGAAAACAAAAAGTGTTTTAAAGTGTTTTTTTTTTTTTTTTTGCTTTTTTTTGGCTGTATCACTAATAGTAACTGTATTCTCCTAAACTATTGAACATATTTTAGAGCAAGAAAATTCTTTAACCAAAAAATAAAAAAACATTTTCCAAATATATTGGTTATCATTTCCTTAAATTCATCTCTAAATGTGACAGGGAAATAATGTCAATTAAATATCCTGATTTCTATGCCTGTGTTTTGGCTTAGCAACATAATGAACTATGCAAGGCATATATTCAGATTCACTGGAAGATGGCTCAGAATCACACTAGGTTTTTCTTCTGTCAATTCTCTTCTTTGGAAATTATACTTGACTACTACTGAAGAGCTAGACAAATATACCTAGAAGCAGTTTTATGACAATTGTTTAACTAGTGACTTCTTAAATATTTGTGAAGAGACTAAACACTAAAAATGCAAACTATGTGATTCTTTTTGACATCTTCAGAAGGAAAGTACACTACAGAGCATGATATGTTTAGTGAAATAGCCCTGTATTAAACACTGACTCTACTACTCATGTCCTTCTTATATTCAGCATCCTGAGCTGTGAAGGTAGTAAAATCAACCTCAGAGAAATGTTAGGGAATTATCTGAAGCAATGCATGTTTCTGTGTGCATAATAGAATACCTGGGCCTAAACTAATACCACGTTCTTTGTTTTGTTTACTATCAAATATGTACTTGGTACAAAATCTAATACATAGTAACCACTCATTACATATTTGTTGCATTAATTAATGAATTAATGATGAACAGATAAGTGGTTTTCAAAGATTTTCTTACCAAAAGCACTCATTTTTTTTTCTTTTTTTCCTAATAAAACTTTAAGTAGAATCCCTATCAATAACTATAATGGATAAAAGCAATAATAAAACAAAAAATTCCTCTAAAAGTTTAAGTCTTCTTCATTGTTCTGGTTGCCTAGTGCCACTCTGAAAAGAGTCTATCACCAATAGGATGGCTGGAACAAATGGAGTTTATTCTCTAACAGTTTGGAGGCTTTAAGTCCAAGTTCAAAGTGCCAGGCTCTAGGGGCTGGATGAAAGCCCCTCAACCTTGGACTTCAGCTCTGCCTCCTGTTCCTGGCCCACTGCAGCTAGCGGCATTTCTTCACTCAGCTGCTGACTGCTGAGAATAAGCCCAAAGTTGACAAGTAAAAAGGCACAGTCCCGATGTTACCGAACCACATGGCAAGCCATTAATTCAAGTCCATTCAAAGTCCCAAGGTTGGCAGAGTATGATAGGCTGCTGAACACCAGCATGGCTACCTGTAGGGTTCAAGCATGCCATAAGCTAGACCGTTTCCAAAGCTGCTGCTTATGTACAGGAATCAGACCACATCCCTAAAGCAGCTACTCAGCTGTTTGTGGCAGATACTACCATGGTGTTGACTGCCAGTCCCATCATGGGGAATAACTACCACCAGCTGCCCAGCCACTCAACCAGGCCCAGCAAAGTTGACACACAACCTTAACTATCACATTCATTATGATGGTTAAGGCTGTGTGTCTACTTGGCTGGGCCATGATTCTCAGTAGTTTGGAAGTTATATTGTAGTTATTTCCCATAGTGAGATCTGATATAATGTAATCACCTCCATGATGAGTCTGCTATGAATAGCCAATCAGTTGAAAAGGACTTTCCTCGGGAGTGTGGCCTGACTCCAATATATATGGACATTTAGGCAAAGCTCTCTGGCTTTTTGCTCCATCTTGAGCCTGCATCTAACTCATCATCATCTGACCTCTGGTTCTTTGAACTTGAACTAGCAGGCTGCTGTATTGCCTGACAATCTTGGGAGTGTTGCCTTTGCAACCTGAGCATCAGCAACTTGCCATCTTACCTGCGGATCTTAGTTTCGGCAGCGTCAGCAGCCAGCAGCCTGTTGTATTGTCTGCCAATCTTGGGTTCATCAGCCCCTGCAGCTATGTGAGTCAGAAGGAGCCTCCAGCCTGATGTCTGGCTTGGGATTTGCCAGCCTCTACAACATGTGAGTCATTTCCTTGAGATAAATCTCTCTCTCTCTCTCTCCCCTACCTCCCTTTTTTCCCCTCTGTCTCAATCTCACTCTCTCTCTTCCTCTAAGCATCATCAAAACCTCTAAGCATTGTTTTCTTCTGTAGAGAATGTAGCCTAAGACATTAATTTAAATACTACATTGCTTGGAGAACCTCTAAAGTTCCTTAGGGTTTGAAATTCAAGATACTGTCTGTGCTTTCACTGAGCGTAACATTAGAAATTGTTGTGTGAGAACTACTTCTCCATCTTTTTTAAACCCTGTGATTAAATATTTCCCAGTGCATGCTAAATATATCTTAGATAATCACCTACATTATAAATTCCTCTCGGAACTTAGTTCTAGTTAAAAAAAAAAAAAAAAATCTCACATCCCTGTCCTGGCTATAAGAATTCACAGAGATAAATTGCTGTGCTCAATTATAACAACGATCCTATACATCTGTAACAGACCATGAATTCATACATCTGGCTTCTGAAAAACAGTATATGGTGGCTGTGTCTGAGGATGTATAAGATCTAAGGGACCTTTAATGTAGGTTGTTCCTGCCTGGCTCGAACTTTAGCACAAAATCTCAAACTGCCACAATGGAAGTATGAACCCAGATATCACTGTTTTCACTTAAGAGTGTTGATAATGTCAAACTATTATACAACAAATATTTATTGAGTATTCTGTTCCAGACATTGTTCTGGGTCACTGGGATGCCTCAGAAATCCCTGACTTCACAAACGTGCAGATTCCCTTATGCTGTCTTCAGATTTAGTCCACCACAGCAGAATTCCTTGCTGAAGAATAATGTACAATGTCTTTGAAAAACTCTTCTCTTTAAGTCTAAAGACTTGAGCTAGGCTCTGATACCCGTTAATTGTATGTTCTCAGCCAAATTCACTTCTGCAAAACGAGGAAAACAAATCTTACTCCTAGAGTTATCAGGATTAGGCAAGTTGGTTCTGGGTCAATTTTCACAACACTCATAATTTGAAATATGTAAAAAAAATATTCTCATTTGCCAAAAACCAGTTTTATGAGGTTAGCCAAAACAACAGTGGTGAGAAAAACTAAATTTGAAAAAAATGTTGAGAGGCTGTTGAAAATATCTCATGCAATATACTTTCATATAAATTATAGATAACATTTCTTTAAAAAAGCTTTTTGGTGAATCTATACTTTAGTGGTCATTAGCTATATATTTAGTGGTCAAATTAATTATTTATCAAATTGATTTTCCGTGAATTGGCTTGCTTTCAAATCATATATGAAAGAATGAAAAAATAACAGCATTGTGTCTGATACAAAGAAGACGACCTACAGAAAGGGTAAAGCTCTTCCCCCAACCCCTCCCCACGCTTTTTTCAGGAGCTGGGTTAGGAGCAAGGGCATGAGAGGATGCAGGATAGGGTAAACCAGCAACATAACTAAGAGCTAAAGGTAGAGGATGTAGGACTAGAAACAGCCCTGAAGAGGAAAAGGATCACAGAAAATGAAGGAAGATCATAGAATATGGAAGCAGATAGAGGCTGCTCTGTATGACCTTTTGAGTCTCAAACATTCTGGGATGAAAGACAGCTGAGCATGAATGCTGTGACTACTAAAAAAGCTCAGAAGAGACCCTATGATGATAGCTTCATGGCTAAGGATCAGCATGAAGCTGATCCTAGAAGGCAGAGATTCATCATATCTCTGCATTCCCACTTGTCCATCATTTCTGACACCAGCCACCCACATGGCACACTCTTTTTCTTTCCCAAGCCACTGGAGCTAGGGCACATCTCCCAGGTTAAGAGGGCACTGTCTTTGTGTTCATTTACTAGCTGGAATGTCTCATAGAACTCAAGGAAAATACTGTGACTACCAGTTTTATTAGAGTAAAAAAAAATACCAATCAGTATCGTCATAAGGAAGAGATGCATGAATGAGGTCTAGGAAGGTTCCCAATGTAAAGCTACTATGTCTCAGGGAAGGTATGTCATTCTTCTTTTGCCAATGAGGAAAGTCTCTGATCCTTACTGTTCTGGCCTTTTATTGGCCAGTCCTGCATGATAGGCTAAATTATGCCTCCTCAATGTGATTGGTATCAGTCTCCCCAAAATGTCTTTTCTAGTCTGTCTTGCCTCCACTTGCCAGCACAAATCTTCAAGTGTGGCCTGGAAGTCCCAGACCAAGGCCCCCTAATTACTCAAAAAGTTAGTTCTCTGGAGCCAAGGACAAAAGCCACCTTACTTTGGGTAAAACTACATCCTTTACCCCATATTCCTTCTGTACACATCCTTCTCTAACATTCAGCTCATTCTAATTTGGATTTGGATTTGTGAAAACACTCTTTTCTCCTATCTCCAGACTGCCTACGTATGAGAAACTCTGTAGGGAAGACTGTTCCTTTGGCCAAAGCAAGCTCTAGCTTTCCAAGAAAACTGTTTATTTTACTCAAGAAACATTCCCTCTGTAGCCACCAAGGCTACTGAACAGAATATCACTAACTCATTCTAACAACAGCAGCCATTTGAACTGACAGTATTCAGACAATGGTGTTGTTTACAGGCATGGCCAGTTGGACTGTCTTGTTTGAACTGATGATTTACCAATATAATTTTTGAACATGTCAATAAGCAGTTATTTAGCTCATGGATTTCATCACAAATTTCTAAAACAAGTTATGCAAGAGAAAATTTTAAGAAATATTATAATTCTGATTATTATGGGATAATATGATCATATATTTTTTAATAAATGCCTATATGCAGATAGAAAAGAGTAGCCCACTGCCATTGAGTCATTTCAGACTCACAGTGACCCTACAGGCCAAGCAGAACTGCTCCTTAAGGTTCTGAAGCCATAAATCTTTACGGAAGCAGACTGCCTCATCTTTCTCCCATGGAGCAGGTGGTTGGCTCGAACCACTGCCTTTCTAGTTAGCAGCCAAATGCTTAAACACTGTTCACTAAGAAATAATAACATAATTTCCAGTATTTGCATGTTAATTTCCTCAATTAAGAAATATTATGTTGTCTGATAATCCAATATTTAAAGTATTTTAGTTGGAAACGTTTGTCCAACAGACGAATGATAGAAATGTTCTTCATGGTCCAATACAATACAGTAGTTATATGTGGCTGCTGAACACAAAATCTGACTTGTACCAGCAAGAAACTGAACTGTTAATTTCATTTAATCTGATTAACTTGAAGGAGCTCTGGTAGCGTAGTGCCTAAGGCACTTGACTGCTAACCAGAAGGCTGGCGGTTCAAACCCACCAGCCACTACTTGGAAGGAAGGTTGAACAATCTACTTCCGTAGTGATACTGCCTCAGAAACCCAAGGAGGGGTCGCTATGAGTCGGGTCTGACTTGATGGCATATAACAACAACACAACAACAATTAACTTGAATTTAAATACATGTTTGTGATAGTGGCTATTACAATGTACAGTGTAGGTCACAAAGATAGGCTTTTTTTAAAAAAAATTGTGATTTGGGTGAAAGTTGACAGAGTAAACTGTTTTTCCATTCAATAATATATACATATTTTGTTTTGTCACATTCATTGTAATCCTTCCAATGTACGGAACAGCACTCTTCCCACTTCCTGCATGTTTACCATTTCCGTTCATCCTTCTTTCCTATCCCTTCCTGCTTTCTTAGCTTTATCCTTGGGCAAATGCTGCCCTTTTGATCTCTTCTGGTTGATTGTTCTAACAAATGCATACCTTCCTGGGACTACTGTTCACCAGTCTGTCATTTGGCTGAAAGTTGAGCCAAAGGGGTGGGTTCAATTCCTGGCTTGAGGGTGTCTAAGGGCCATAGTTTCAGGGTTCCACCAGTATTTACTGGACCAATAAGCCAAGTCTTTTTTTTAATAATTTTTAGTTTTGCTCCACATTTTTCTCCCATTCTATCTGGAACCTCCTATTGTGATCCCTTTTGGAGCAGTGAACAGAGGTAGCCAGGCACAATCTAGTTCTTCTGGTCTTAGAGTCATGAAGGTTAGGGCTCACATGGCCCATCAGTCTTTTGGATTAATTGTTTCCTTGGTCTTTGATTTTATTTTTTTCACTTTTCTTTTCTCTGAATGGGGAAAGACCAATAGTGGCACCTTGGATGGCTGCTCACTAGCTTTTAAGACCAAGTCACTACTCACCAAAGTAGGATGTAGAACATTGTCTTTGTAGACTATGTTATGTCAAATTGAGATTAGCGTCCCTCCAAGACTATGTCCTGAGCTCCCATGTCCAGCTTTTAAAGTAGCAAAGAGCCTGCTTGATTCCCATGAGTTGTTCACATACCACTCCAACTCTCCCTTTAATTGTGCCTGTGTTGATACAGTCTTAAATCAAGTTGAGGCTTCAACTCAGTTTTAACTAAACTTTTCCCTATGAGCAAAAAAATTACCATTAAAGTATCTAAACTTTGTTTAAAATTTAAAATTCTATCCCCTATAGGGGACAGGAGTAACTGCTAAGGGTTACCAGGTTTTGTTTTGGGGTGACGAAATGTCCTAAAATTAATTGTGGTGATGATTGCACACTCTGTGAATATACTGGAAATCACTGAACTGCACACTCTAAATGGGTAAATTGTATGGCATGTATACCTCAATAAAGCTTTACCAAAAAAAATACATAATCTTTCATTTCAAATAACTCATACACATTAAAAAAACCTGTTATCTAGGTTTGTCAGAAAAAAACAACCATTACTAATGTTAAAAACCTGTCCATACAGATAATATTGTTTCAGTCAATGACATCTATAAGTTCATTTTATGCAAAAAACTACTTTAAAAGACTGAAAGACTATTTACCAAGGGAAGATTAAGTGTAGTTATTTTCTTTGTCTGTCTATATTTTAATTTTTCTCTACAATGAACATGCACTGTAAAAATCTTTCAAGATACACAATTGAGATTATATATTAATCCTTTGTATGCATTTTAAATAGAGTTTTAATCAATATTCATTTAATAAAGAACAGAAAAGAAATAACAGTATATATACACCATTGTACTATATAGTATCTCACTATTCTACCATGTTATTTTGAAGTCCCCTGGACAACTATATACTAGTCAATGAAAAGTGTTATGTATATAGTAGCTGTTAAGTGCATGGCTTTTGTATAGACTGCTGGGTTCAATATCCTATCTCCACCATTTTTTGACTACATGACCTCAGTTCTTCATCTGTAAAATGGAATCGTAATATAAAGACTTTCCCTAAAAAAACTGTTATGAGGATGAGGAAAGGCCATATAATGTACACAATGCTAACCAGCCCAAAGTCTAAGACATAGTAGATCTTCAACAATTTTATAAAGCTAATGAGTAGAAATTATAATGGTAAATATAAATACAAATAGAATATGCAAAGCCTGAAAAACAAATATGCAATACTTAATATTATCGATTTTCTTCAAGAAAATATTTATTCTACAAACTACTAAGACTTTCATGATCCCACAGTTGATTTGTTACATCTCTTAGAGTCCCTCTTAAAGTAGTTCATACTTACCATTGAGAAAAAAACACATTTTATATCCTTTTAGAGTGAAGATTTTCCCAAATGCTCAGTAAAACCCTGAATCTCAACATTTAAAGAATTCCCAGAGTTTACAATTCACTACTTGTCTGTGAATTTGTTGTCCTGTGGTGGCTTGTATATTACTGTGAGGCTGGAGGCTATGGCATCGGTATTTCAAATACCAGCAGGGTCACCTTGGCAAATGTTGACATTTTGATCTCTTCTGGTTGATTATTCTAACAAGTGCATGCCTTCCTGGTACTATTCACCTGTCTGTCATTTGGCTGAAAGTTGAGGCACAGGGGTGGGTTCAGTTCCTGGCTTGAGAGTGTCTAAGGGCCACAGTTTCAGGGTTCCAACAGTGTCTATCAGACCAGTAAGCCTGGTTTTTTTTTTTATGATTTTGAGTTTTGCTCCATATTTTTCTCCCATTCTATCTAGAACCTCCTATTGTGACCTCTTTTGGAACAGTCAACAGTGGTAGCCAGGCAGAATGTAGTGGACAGGTTTCAGTGGAACTTTCAGACTAAGACTAGAGTGGCAAGAAGGACTGGGCCATCCACTTCTGAAAATCTCAGCCACTGAAAACCTTATGAATAGCAGTAAAACACTGTCTGATATATTACTGGAAAACTTCATGAATAGCTCTGAAACACTGATATAGTACCAGAAGACTAGCCTCCCAGATTGGAAGGTACTCAAAATACAATGGAGGAGGAGGTGTCTCCTTAGAGTAGTTGACTTTAATGACATTATGGTAGTTCAATTTGTGTATCAACTTGGCTGGGCCTAGTTGAGTGGCTGGGCAGTTGGATGTAGTATTCCCCATGATTAGACTGGTAATCAACTCCATGGTGGAATCTACTGTGAGCAGCTGAGTAGCTGCCTTAGGGAATGTGGTCTGCTTCCTGTATATAAGAAGAAGCCTTGGGGATAGTCTCGAGTTTATGGCACGCTTGGACCCTGCATGTAGCTGTGTCATTTTTCAGCAGCCTGCCATGCTCTGCTGACCTTGGGTCTTACAATAGACTTAAGTTAATGGCCTGCCATGTTGTTTGGTAACATCGGGCTGTGCCTTTTTACTTGTCAACCTTGGGTTTGTCCGCCTCAGCAGCCAGCAGCTGTCTGAGAAAAGAAACATCTCTAGCTCCAGTGGGCCAGGAGCAAGAGGTAGAGCTGGACCCCAAGGTTGAGGGGCTTTCACCCAGCCCCTAGAGCTTGGCACTTTGAACTCAGACTTCTAGCTTCCTGAACTGTAAGAGAAAAAACTCCTGTTTGTTCAAGCCGTCCCATTTGTGGTGTGGTACTAGGTAACCAGAACAGATATGGATCGAGAAAAGCTTTTAGGACCTCTACTTGCTAATGGGGCATGACTCAGAATGGGAAGAAACAACAGCAAACATTAATAATAGGAAGAAATAACTGCAAATATTAATAATAGGAATATGGAATGTATAAAGTATGAATCTAGGAAAATTGGAAGTTGTCAAAAATGAAATGGAACATATAATGATTGATATCCTAGGCATTAGTGAGCTGAAATAGATTGGTATTGGCCATTTGGAATCTATCATATGGGCTACTATGCTGGGAATGATAAATTGAAGAGGAATGGTGTTGCATTCATTGTCAAAGAGAATGTTTTAAGATCTATCCTGAAGTACAATGCTTTCAGTGATAGGATAATATCTGTGGAATAGACCATCAACTGCTCATGTGCAAGCTCAAGGTGAACCTGATGAAAATTAAAACAAGTCCATGAGAGCTAACATAAGACCTTGATTAAATTTCACCTGAATTTAGAGACTATCTGAAGAACAGATTTGACACACTGAACACCAGCGACCAAAAACCAAATAACTTGTGGGATGATATCAAGAACATCATACATAATCTTACATATGCACTTGTGCTGCAAAACTAGCCACTTACATTACAGAAGCAACACAAGGCAGAGTTGGAGTAACTTCTCAGAGACAACCAAACACCTTGAGAAAGAGAATCAATGGGCCTGTGGGGTTGGGACCATAGTCTTTGGGGACATCATGAGCAATTAGCACAACAAGTACATAAAAGGCTTGTTCTACAGCCTCCTTTGATGAGTAGCAACTGGGGTCTTAAAAGCTTTTGAGCAGCCATCTATGATGCAATTATTGGTCTCCTCTCATCTGGAGCAAAGAAGAGTAAAGAAAACCAAAAGCAACTCTGAGACCAAAAGAACTAGATGGTGCCTGGCTACCAATGCCAACTGCTTGGAAAGGGATCAAAACTGGAGATCCTGGTTAAAGTGGGAGGAAAAATGTGGAACAAAATTCAAAAACACAAAAAATGACCAGAACTACTGGTTGGATGGACACTGGTAGGACCCTCAAGACTATGGCCCCAGGTTACCCAAAAAAAAAAAAAAAAAAGAAAAAGAGAGACAACAAATAGGGAAAAGAAAAAAAGGAAAAAAAGCTGAAAGCGAAA